GTCTGTACAAGTCCTTTACCCATTTTTCAATTGGGTGGTGATTTTTCATTGTTCAGATACACTTTGAAAAGCAAGGCCAAGGGCTGCCTCTGCTGAGGGAGGAGAGGGAAGAGTGAATGGAAGGAGAGAGAAGCAGAGGGGAAGAGCAAATGGAGTGAGGTGAGGGAGAAAGGACTGAGAGATGTTTTGTGGAGCACAGAGGAGAGGGAAGGCAGCCCTCAATTCTCCTATTGAGCTAATATTTATCGAGCACCTACTGTGTGCCGACATTGCTGCGGTGCTGCAGTCCTCACCTGTTTGACTCAGTTCTCCTTGCTGGCTCTCCATGACGGCAGCGACCCTGCCCAGCTGCCAGTGCCAACCTCCAGGAGGCAGTGCTGGGGGGTACTTCATCCTACAGCTTCTGTGGTCAGAGCAGCTAGAGTTTGAGTCCTTTAAAAATGACATGTGTGCCTTTGGACCGTTTACAGGACCTCCCTGAGCCTCACCTTCCCCATCTGTAAAATGAGGATGGTAAGAAAAATAAAATGTGTAAAGTCCAGATCAGGGGACAGCACAGGGACGCGTGCCTCCATGAAGACTGTCCTGCCCTCTCCCTCCACCTTGCTCCAGATGCAGCTTCCTGCACCCTGACCTGCTCCCCTGTAGCAGTCCGATTCATAGACTCTTCAACTGACTAGGTTTGGAAAGCCATGTCTCCTGGATGCTCTGCAGTCTCTGCTGGGCCATGCCAGCCATGGGGGGCCTGCAAGGCAGTGCAGGGCTGTGAGGGGCCCCCGGCTCCCATGATGGGAGGGGCAAGGGGGCGGGCCCACAGGTGCAGGGAGGAGGCCTGGGAGGGCTTCCTTTCCCAGGAGGCAGCAACTGCAAATATCCATCTAGGAAATGAGAAGCTGTAACACTTACTGAGCTGGGCTGGGAACTCTGGGTGATATTCGTTCACCAGAGCTTCCTCAGTCTTCCGTTGCCCATGCTCTCTGCTGTCTCACACAGCCCTAAGCTTGGGAGGGCTAATCCTGGGGCTTGGGCCTCTTCTTTCTCTCTCTTGGAGCACAGTTGAGCGCACCCTCTTGTAGTGAATTAAAATTTTTAATTTCCTTTCCTGCCTGAATAGAAATGCGACTCCTCTCAGGGTAGTTAGTGTATAGTGCAGCGGGTAGGAGCTCAGGCCCTCATCCGGGGCCTCAGCTCAAGTTCTGACTCTACCCCTCATTAGCTGGGCCATCATGGGCAAGTTACTGATTCCCTCTGAGCTTCAATTTCTTCCTGTGAAAAATAAGGATGATGAGCCCCTCCCTCGTGAGGTTGCTGTGGGGAAGGGGTGCTATAATTCTTGTAAAGTGCTTGCTTGGAGCCGGGTGCTCCTTAAGGGCTTGATGTTAGCAATTGATAATATGATACACAAACAGAAAGAAGTGTTCAGATGTCTTCAGCCCAGTGACCAGGAGCCCTTAGAGGAGCATTCTGGGGTGAGTGAGCACCAGTACTTCAGTAACTCATCTCTGAATACTGACTGGGCTGATCAGCCTGTTCCTGGAGGCCCAGAGGACTGCGGGAATTGAGCCTGGTTCCTCTGACTTTCCCAGGGGCTGGCCCATGGAGGATGGTGGGAAAACAGGATCCCAGGACAACTGGCTAGGTTTCTGAGAGCCCAAGACTAGGATGGCTCCTGGGGTTGGGTGGGAGAAGGTAGGGTGGGGTTGGTCAGCAGGACTGTCAGTCATAACTCACATGCCACCCAGTGAAGCTGGAGGAAGAAAAATCCAGTTGAGCCTGAAATGATATTTTTAGAAATGACCCTGTTTGAGAAACTTTCACAGAGAATCTCTATTAATGTAGAAAGGGGGTCCTCCAGAGAAGTACTAGGACATTTCACTTTAATAATAACAAGAATAGTAATACTATCAAAAATAACAATTTGGGGGCTGGGGTTGTAGCTCAGTGGTTGAGCACTTGCCTCACATTGTGGGACACTGGGTTCAATCTGCAGCACCACATAAATAAATAAAACAAAGATATTGTGTCCATCTACAACTAAAAATAATTTTTTTAAAATAACAATTTATTAGTGCTTTCTACATGCCAGCACTACCACTAAAACCTCTCATTTCAATTCATTCTTTAAACAACAGTGAGGTGATTGCTATTTGCTTTTGTGGAAAAGGAAAAGAGAGGCTCAGAGATATTAATGAAGCAACTCAGAGCTGGGGCAATCTCAAACTCTTGCATTCGAAGACAATAGCCAAAGTTCCTGTGGATGCCAGGGTCCAGTGATTGGTTCAGAGAACAGGGAGGGCTAGTGGCATCAAAATATTCCAACCTCATTTCCCAAACTGGCCCCCTTGGTGATTCAGTCCCCTGGGCTGTGGTCTCTGGGATGGGAAGGGGGGTGGGCAGCAGGCTCAGCCACGACACTGAAGGGCAACACAGAGCTTGCGCTAGGGCCTGGTCCTTCTGGGTGATACCCTCTCCAGAGCAGATCTTCCCCTGGACAACCCTGGCAACTGGGCTCCAGGAGATCTGCGGCCTGACTGGGGCCATAAATCCAGGGGAGGCCAGTTGATTCTTTTTCCTCAGTGATGCAGTGCTCCAGGGGTTGTGCTTAGTGGCTGATCTTGTTTTCCTTTGGTGCCCACAGTGCCTGGGGCCAGTTTATGGCCTCTCTAAATCTGTAGCTACCTTTTCAGGGCTCTCTGTGTCAGGACCAGATAGAAAAAATCTGCTTCACTGCTTTTTGCCCCACACCAAGAGATCCTGTAAGGATTTTTTTTTTCAAGGTTAGAAACCAGCCCCTGTTGCCCATGGTGGTTGGCATGGGGCATCCCAGTGCAGAGGGCAGAGGGTGGGCACTGGCTGAGTTTGAATTATTTGTTATTGGATTCCAGCTATGTGACCTTGGGCAAATGACCTGACAGCTTCAAGCCTTGGTCATATCAGGGAAAGGGGATAATGAGGACCCTTCCTCACAGGGTTTTTTTTGCAGGCAAAGAGACTCATTGGTGAGGTGTGTACCCTTAGCACAGGGGCCTGGCCCAGCCTTGCCTGACCACCCTGTTGAAGGCAGGATTCCCATTTATTCTTGCTCACTGCACTGTTATTTCTTCAGCCCAGTTTGTAATTACAGTATACTGTGTTTGTTTACTAGTCCAGGGACCATGTCTGTTTTCCACTGCCTGATCATTGGTATCAAGAGCAGAACAGTCAATGTTGAGTGAGTGAATGACAGACAGCCCCTCCCCAGTCTCCTTCAGGCAGAGCAGCCTTTATTTTCCCAGAAGACATGGCCTGCAGAGCCCCGTCTCCTCTATTCCCTCCAGAGCCACTGCAGTCTGGAAGGGCTGGATGCTCTGTCTGTGCCAGCCACAGAGCAGCCTGAGAGAACAACTGGCTGGGGCCAAGGCAGGGCTTTACACTCACCTGAATAGCCATGGTCCATGAGGGATGATGGGGTCATTCTAAGGGCTACTTCTGCCCTCCACTGTCCATAGCTCCCTGGCCAGTGCCTCCACAGCCATACCACTCCACCAGAGCCCTGCATGGCTTCCTCTCATCTGGAGCTGGGCCTGGCTTTCAGAAGAGGTTTCCTTTCCACCTTCTACTTTCTTCCAGTTCTACCTCCTTCTAGGTCTCCCCTGCCTCCTGCCCTCATCTAAAACCAGGGCCCCCAGGACTTGGCAGATGTGTGGGGCTGGGGGAGGCACTGCAAGTCCAGATGTGACTGTGTTTATGTTTCCAGAGAGTGAGGGTCGGAGTTCTGGACTGGAGCTGTTGGGGGAGGGTCAGGCTGCAGCCCCCTGCCCCAGCCTTCCCTCCCCCACCTCCCTCCTCCAGCCTGTGTCTCTGGCCCTGTCTGTCCATCACAGAACCCCATACTCTAAGTCCCACAGCATCAGGTTGGGCCATCCTCCAGGAAGATCCTCTCTCCATTGCTCATCTGAAGGTGAGAAGAGCAGTGGAAAGACATCTGGCTTTGGACTCTCAAGGCCTGTTGGCTCCGTGTGACCTTGGCTGGGTTATAAAGCCTCATGGAACCCCAGTTCCATGTGTAAGAGGGAGAACACTCTTGACCTCAGGTCAGTGTTGACCTGGTTTGAGAATGTGTGCATAGGGCTCTCTTGCTCTTAGCTCATGACTAAGCCTGTGGTGTGCCCCATCCCAGCTAGGGCTTGCCTCAGTCCAGCTCTAGGGCAGTGCCAATCCCCATCGCAAGGTGATTCTGAAGCAGACTATCAACCCCTCCTTCTTCCCCCACTGCAGCTGCAAACATTTTGTTTTGCCATTAGAAGTGACTTACTTAAGGGAAGCAGAATTTTACAGGCAGTTTACAGGCTGGACTTGTTCAGTAGTTTCCACAAGCCAGAGGAGGGTTGAGGCAGGCAGCAGCCCCCATAAGTTGGGATGGAAGGGAAGTAAGAAGTGAGTCCTGAGTGCCCAACCCTTTCCTGCTCAACTGAGCACCCCTGGGTGGGATCTTGGTGTATTAGGAGCTAGGGGGAAAGGGAGAGGAGGCGCTGACTAGACTCTGGCCAATCCAGTCTCCTCAGCTTCCCTGAACACCTAGGGTTCAGCTCCAAGTATGGGAAGCCAGGAATGGCTCAAAGGAGAAAAGGCAACCCTAGCCCTAAAGAGGCTCTCAGAGACCCCTACCCGGACGTGGTGGGTAGTCAAGGGCCCCATAACACTCTAGGGGCCTCGAGGGCAACCAAAGACATTTTGAGAAGAGCTTGCCCAATTTCGAGCCCTGGGAGGGAGGGGCTGCCTGGCTGCGCTGTGCCTAGAGACTAAGCTTTTCGGCCAGTGCTCAGGGAAGCGAGTAGAGGGGACCCAGAACGCCTGGCAGAGCAGTCAGGAATGGTGGTGGGGAAATGGGGGTAGTGTCCCACTCCCATACCTCCCCTACTCCCGCTGAGGGTTGCCTCGGTTTTTTCCCTCCCACCCCTGGGTCTCGGGGTGGTGCGGTTCCCTTTCTGTTGCCGAATGAAGCAATCAGGGCTCGGCAGTGCTTAGCACGCTCGGACTATGGTTTTAATAGACGTACATGGACAAGTCGATATAGACAGATTTATAATTCTATACAGTCAGTCCGACATACACAGGGACGCTGTAAACAGGGGCGCGGGCCGGAGAGCGGGTGTGCAAAGTGGGCGCAGGGCCCTGGGGCCGCGCCCCGCGCTCTTCCGGCTCGACTCTTGCACGGCGGGCGGTAAGGAGGGGGGTTGTTCTCCGGGACAGGGGGCCACCTCCTGGACCGGGAACGGAGCAGAGGGCCTGAGCCTGCGACTAAGCTGGGGCAGGGGTGCTCTGAGACGAGCCACCCCAACCCCTGCCTTGTCTGCACGGCCAGCTGTGGCTCCTTGGCCTTAATAAAGGGCTCCGGAGCGCGGGCAGGCTAGGGCTTGGGGGGGGGGGCGCCACCGGGCTAGTGCGAATCCACGGTGAGTGCCGGATCCCGGGCTGGGTACCGTTCCCAGCCCAACGCTCCCTCCAACTGGGATTCGGCTTGAGTTTAATTACGCTCGGCCGGACCCAGCTAGGAGTGGGCATTTTGGTTCGCACCGGCCCGAGGATCCCCGGCCTGTCCGGGCTCCGCACAGTCAGTTTGCAGGCGCAGCTGCTCAGGCGGGGATGCGGGCTATGAGGGCGTCCTCTGCTGCTGCCGGCCCTCAGATCTCACTTCTGGCGCCGCGTCCCCTCCGCGGAGTGGGCCGCTGGGGCCCGTGGGAACCAACACACACCACCGGCGCCTTCCCGAGGGAAATTGCAACTCATCCATTTTTCTTTTTTTTTTTCCGCGGCACTTTTCTCCGATGTCTTTTGTTTTTGTTTTGTTTTGTAGAGGGCAGAGTGGGGTCCGGAAAAGCAAACACAAAACCAAACCTGGAGGTGGGGAGATGGGGAGGAGGGGGCTGCGCAGGTGCGAGGTCTGCGGCGCGGCGAGTTGTGGCCCCGCGTGCGCCCTCCGTGCCAGCCCCGCGCCTTGCCTGTCGGCCGCCGGCCCGCGTGGCCAGGCTGGGCGGTCAGCTGTTGTACTGGCACGCATTGAGGCCGGAGGCCGGGCCCTGCAGGCCGCCGTAGCCGAACGACGAGTGCTGCTTAGACTTGAGCCTCAGGCTGGCTAAGCTCGAGTTGCACGTGTCCCGATAGACGCTGTAGGGCGAGGCGGGTGTGCCGTAGGGGCAGGCGCCCGGTGACATGGCCGAGTTAAGCGAGGAGCCGGTGAGGTTGTTGATGTTGTTGAGACCCGAGTTGGGCATGCCGGGCACGGCGCCCGGGCCCATGCTGGACGGCATGGTCATGGAGGAGATGGAGCTGGGTGCCGAGAACATGGACTGAGACGACAGCGGGCTCATGGAGTTGAAGAAGGTGAAGCTCTTGGTGGACAGCGGCGCTGGAGCTAGGCTCTTGGCGGCCCAGTTGTTGTAGGAGTAGCCGGCGGCGTACACGTCCTCGTAGGGCTGCACTAAGCCGCTGAATTGCGGCACGTAGCCGCCCTTGCACAGGTCCAGCTGCTGGTTACGCTCGCGCTTCCGCCACTTGGCCCGCCGGTTCTTGAACCAGACCTGGGGAAGGGGGCCGGAGAAGGGTCAGGGCTGTCGAGGGCAGGAAAGCCCCATACCCCTACCCCTGCCACCCGAAGCTTTCTGCCCGTTTCTTTCTTTCCGAATATCGAATATCGTTTCTTTTCGCCCTCTCTGTAATGGCTTCTTTCCTGTCCCCAGAAAATACTATTTTTTTTTTACCTTTTCTGATCTTAATCCTCTTCCCCAATTGAAACTCTTCAAATACACTCTGTGAACAAACATTCGTTTCCATCCTTTCAACCGGTCCACCTTTTGCATTCTCCCCCAAACGGGTCCCTATCTAAATATTTCCATCTTTTCCTTCTCCCTCAAATACAAAAGGTATTTTTCTTCCCTGAGACATGACTCGCCATCTTCAATTTTTTTGGTCTGTTTTCATCAAATAGTCTGTTTTCATCTTTATTTTCAATATTTGAATTTTCATTTCTGTCCCCAATTTTATTTTTGTTCAGGTCACCCCACTATCTGAACCTCTTTCTTCTCCCTCAGTCTGTTTTCTTCTTCATCCCCCATTTTTTTACTTTTGATTCTTCTCCAAATATTTAGTTTTTTCCTCTTTCCAAATATCTGACCTTCACTATTTCTTCTAAATAGATGATTCTTTCTTTTCCTAAATACTTGATCCTTTTGCTTCTCCCTTAAATATTTAATTCCTTTCCTGCTGCCTAAATATATGCCAATATGTTTCTCCACAAATATTTAATTTCCTTTAGCTTACTAGTTTCTCTCTAATCTCCCCCTCCACTTTATCCTACAAAATTTGGTAAGGACCTTATTTCCCAACTGTCAGGTCCTTCAGGAGCTTCACTTATTCGACTGCCCAATAAATATACCCTGTCCTTCTTGACGCTTTTTCAGTCCCTGGGCTGAATTTCCTGGGCTGAGTTTCTAGAGATCCCTGGCTAGGAGACCCTGCATCTCAGCTTTCCCCAGGTTCCAGAATCAACACTACCTGATTCTATTCCAGTCCCCACCACCAGAAACCTGGGCAGGATTAGTAAATTCAGGATTACTGAGTGCTGTGTCTTCACCCAGAGTCCGGCTGGGCTAGCCAGCCTGACTGGGGAAGGGTGAGGATTGGGGTTTATAGCAGGGACTCAGTGTATTGGGTGGGACTTTGGCCTGGCTTGGGAGGAAGGTGTTCCCAATATCTTTAAATATTTGCCCACTGGGGTAAGAAATGTTACTCTTGCTGCTCTGGCCAGAAAACCTTGAGTTTACTGGGAACCAAACAGTGAGACATGGAAGCATCCAGTCAGGTTTGGGCCCAAGACCTTACATCCCTAAAAGGACTGGGAGGGCCATGCCACCGCATCTGACCCCAGACCCACAATAGGAATGGGCATTAAGTCAAGGGTCCAGCTATGGGCCTGGTAAATGGCCAGGGAAGGTGGAGACTATCCTGAGATTTTGGAGAAACTAAGTGTGGGATGAGACTACTATTCCAAGAAGTTTTGAATCCCAAACTCAGGCACCTTTCAGGCCTCTTGGAGGCAGCCAGGCAGGACTTGCCTTTCCCTTTCGGTTTCGGAGGAAGGCCCCTGCAGCTCCTGATATCCCAGCCTTAGGGAATCCTCTGCTTAATCTCTGGCCCAGGATATCCCTTAACACTGAACTGAATCCTAGGCCCTCAGCGTGGAAGAGTCTCTCCCCTTGGGGCCACAGGTCTTTGGGCTGGGGCTTCCTAGAGCCGGAGGGTCAGATAAGAAGAGTTGGAAAGCAGCGGCAGCAGTCAGAGCAGCTAGTGGCCTAGGAGCCTAGCAGTTGCCGGTAACTAGGGCCCAAGGTTGGGGGGGAGGTGGAAGAGCAGGGAGCAGGAGTGAGTGAAAGTGTGAGTGCAGGTCTAAGTTTCGAAGGGCTCTAGCTGAGGCAGGCGGGAGCCCTCTGAACCAGTACCCTTAAACACAGGCTCTGCGCTCACCCGCACGCGCGGCTCGGTGAGGTTGGTCCACACGGCGATCTCCTCCCTCATGCTCATGTCGGGGTAGCGGTTTCTCTGGAACGTGGCCTCCAGCTCTTGCAACTGCTGGCTTGTGAAGTGCGTACGTTGCCGCCGCTGCTTCTTCTTCTTGGCTGGGTCCTCCGCGCCGCCGCAGCCCGTGCCGCCTGCGCCACTGTCCTCCGGCCCCTTAGGTTCCCCGCCGCGCTCCTTCTCTGCAGCAGGCAGGAACGGGCGCGGGTCACCTCGGGCTTAAGCCTGTTGCGCCCTGTCCCGGTTCCACCGAAGCGCCGGCTGTCAGCCCTCCCTCCCGCCAGGGGCCCGGGGAATTGTCCGCGTTGGCAAGAGCCTGCCGGGAGCTGGTCTGCACCTCTGGTCTGGCGTGCCGAGAACTACCCAGGAGCCAGAGCTGTGGGCCTGGGTTCCTGGCTGGCAGGGCCTGCTCCTGCAGCTCGGCTCAGACTGGGCCTTGCTGCAGCTGTCACCGGCAAATACACGCTGTTTTTGCCGGGTGCTTGGGGGTCTAAATCTGAGGGAGTCTCTGCTTTTCTGAACTAGGACCAAATCTTCCAGACTGAAACTAACGTATTGGTGAGGGATGAACCAGGTGGTGGCCTGAAACCCCTCCATTTTTTTTTTTCCTCTCCAAGGCTGAGTGGAGTTCCAATACACTCGGCCTTAGTTGTAGGCCTGCAGTCCCAAGGCCTGAAAAACCCCTATATCTAGGTGACCTCAGGCTTTAGCCTCTCTTTCTTTAGATCTACACAAACACATGCAATCACAGAAAAGTTGAAATGTAAAGAAAAAGAATTTAAAAACAAAACACAGAAGTTCTGAAAAGCTTATAGCTCTCTGCCTAAAACCACAGAAAGGGTCATCAAAAAATTTCAAAAATAGGCAGGTAGAAACACACAGCAAGGGTAAATTAAGAATCAGAAAGCATTGTCCAAACACACCTCTAACTAAATACAAAGCTGTATGTGTATAGATTCATACATTTATTTCTCTGGCATTTAAAAAATCCATGATTATTGTAGTTAAATTTTGAACCCCTTCTCATAAACATCCTCGTAGACATAAATTTTAAATCATTATAGTTAGATAATTTAAATTCCCCAAATAACATACTGCATATGTATTTAGAGAAAATCTTGGAGAAATGCGCCATTTTGGATTTAAAACCTCTCCAAGAATAATGTTGCATGTAGATATTTTAAATTCCAGAGAGACAAGGAGTATATTAAAATTTTCAAAATAAAAATTGTTGAAATTGTTAATCTTCATAGATTTGGTTTTTAAATATCAATCTATAGTTCTATGAATTTTAAAATAAAAAGCAACCAAACACCGCGCTTTAAACTTTCGAAAACAAAAGTACAGTACAGCGTTGTTTTTTAACCAACCAAACAGAACCGCTCAGGGAAAGTTACTTAGAGATGCAAAACAGAAACAAATAGAGATTTAAAACGCGAAGAGAAACACTTAGCGGTGGATTAAGAAATGAAGGCAGAAGAGTCACCCACAGCCTGGGGAGTGGGGAGCCGGGAGCACGGCGGCGACGCGGAGTTAGATTCACGAGCGCGGGAGTAGCTCCGAGAGCCCAGCGGCCGGGAATGGCCCGGGGATTTGCTGCGCTACTGTCCGTGCCACCCACTCGCGGTCAGATCGCGTCTGGGGGAAAAGCTCAAGCTCTCGGACAAATGGACAGCCCAGTGGGATAAATGCCCGAGCTGAGAAGGGAGCCTGGCTGGACCGCCTGGTGGCTCCGAGCTCTGGCCGCGCGTGTGGGCCAGGATCCCTCTATTCGGGTTTGGTCAACCCTGCCGGGGGTCTGGCCGCGCCCCTTGGCCGGCTGGTCTTCTCAGTCCTCTGTCTCTTCCTTTTACTTGATGTTGCCTCCTCCTCTCTGTTTTTCGCTTCGCCCGCCCCTTCTCTTGGGTTGTCCCACTCATCTGCATCACCCTGCCTGTCAGGGTGCCTGCCCCTCTCTCGGACTCTGTGGGCAATTTCTCTCGCCCGTCAGTCCCATTCCCTTCGATCTGCTTCTCTTCCTTCGTCCCAGCGACATTTCAGCGCCCACTTGCGCAAACCCAACTTTTTCTCTCCCTTTTCTATTTGCCCATGATCAACAGGGGTTGTCACTCCAACCTCCTAGTTATAGGCTCGTGCATCTGCCCATCTCTTGGCGCGTGGGAACCGCGTGGAAGTGCCTTCGTGTGTGTGTGTGTGTGTGTGTGTGTGTGTGTGTGTGTGTAAATTTGCACCTTCACCGTCAGGTCAAGACTAGGAAAAAGAAAGCTCCTGACCCTCCTGGGGCGGAGAGGGAATCTGGCTGGCCGCGCGGGAGCCAGGCCTTGCTCCCCGCGCCGGGGTAGGTTCCGTGCGCGCGGCGCGGGGAACCGCGCTTACCTGGCAGCTCTGTGTCAGACGACTCGCTGGCTGAGTTCTCGAGCGGCTCGCGAGGG